AAGCTGGCTTTGACCAGATAGAACACAATGGATTTAAGGAGCAATAATAGGATATATTCTAGAAGTTGCACTGAGGTTGAAAAATTACCAGCCCCAAATATCGTTTGCGCCCCCCCTCCCTAGGCAAAATCCTAAGTACGCCTTTGGAATTTGACTAGCTTTAGTGTACACTATCTATTTGACTACCAATGCCTACCAAAGTGGCAGCATTGTATCAACATAATACTAATGCTACCATCCCGACTACATTCTCTATGGCTGTCCGACTGATCATGGATCCTTTATAACGGACAGTGTCGTGGAGAAAGTCGCTCTCTTCTGTCACTATGTCAATGTACCTTGCTCCTCAGATCTCTCCTTCACGACACCGCCGCGTGTGTAGCCTACCAAACAGACACGCCACGTTTCTGCCTTCCATCCCAACTGTCTTGAACTTCGTACATCGTGAACTAGCTGATAGGACCGCTCTCTCATTTCTATGGTGTCGAAGTTGTGGAACAACCTATCTCAGGAGGTCGGTTAACCTGAGGCAGTTCAAAAGTCGGATGAACAAGGCATCTTTGAGTTCCTTATACCTGTCGCGGTGTCCAGGTATTTAAACTTCTGCCTAGGCGACTGCTTCACTTTGATAATTGAAAAAAATCCCCAATTGGACTAGGTACCCCAAAAATCAACGAAAGTTCAAGATCCTTCACGTCTTAAACTGACTGCCTTAAAAATGTGTTCAACTCATGCGCAATTTCCAGTAGTACATCGGAAATTGTATAAAAGTGTCAAAAGGTCTAAATCGACATAGCACTTGTAGTTGATGTCCCTGATATGTAACATACCTATGCCTAGCACGTTAGAACGGGTATTGAGCCGTTGCTAACGTGTTTCATGCTATAATCCCCGTGACGGTCCAGTGGCAAACTTTGATCAGGCAATACAGATAGAAGATCGTTCTTAATTTAGAGTGTTTAAGTCAAAAGCAATTCTAATAGAAGCGTGTCTTTCAAACAGTTTGTTAAAAATCAACCCGAAGGACTTCCGCTAGTGCTGGCGAGTTAGGTTTCAGGAATCGATTTCCACTGGGGTCTCGGTTGTTTGTTACCTTCATGAACACGTGTGCAGTGGCGAAGCCTTCATGTAACCATTGTTACCATTGCTAACAGTTAAAAATCTTGAAAATAAATATTTTATGACTAAGTACTGTGAAATAATTTCATTTATATGTTTACCAACAGCAATATGTAATAGCACTTCAGTAAATAGCAAATTAGCCGCAAGACAATAAGGCGCCCTATACTGTCTAGATTTTGCGAACGCGATGAAGCTGACTCGCCTCGATTTGGTTGTCGGTTGTTACCATTTTCGTTTATGGATACATTTGATAGTCCATCGGGGACGTCGGCGTCGGTGCCGGGCGTCTGATCGCGACTATTATGTGGGCTTGTTACCACTTTTTGCTTTGGTTACTGACTTCTCACTCGTAAGTAGCCGTTTCGGTTACCGGTTGTAGTATGCGTGCAATTAAACGGATAAATGTCGCTGCGTAATCGATCAACTACATAAAAAGGCATTCTCCTTATATAATTTTGAAGAAAAAAAAGGAGATGATGGACAATGAAGACCAACACCCATTTTAGATAATTTTAAATAGGGATAAAAATGTAGTTCGATATTTTAAATTAAGTTGGTATAGTGAAAACTCTTGGTTATGTGGCTGCAAAAGATTGTATTGTTGGCCATGTCTTCTGTTTTCTACAGAAAAAAATGGGTGGACCAGCAGCGGAGTCAACGATTTAAATAGTCTAAGGGCCAATTTCACCAACAACAGTCCTAACACCTACAGGGTAACAGCCCGTCAAATACAGCGAATGAGCTTCAAGTTCCAATCAACAAATTTTAGCAACCAATAGCTATGAAATGTTGAAAACAAAATACTTTCAAAGTATAAGATGACATCTTGTCATTCAAACATCATCAGCTTATTGAATATTAAGATATATAATTCAGTCAAAATTTAAACAAATGTTTGATTTTTGAATAAAATTCATGATTTAATTACTATTGTTGATTTTTTATTCATGTTTATACTATTTTCTTCAATGGATATGCGATTTTACTGATTCAAGATCATCTACTGGGTGTTTTTTCCTATAAACCTCTTACAGATAGTCATTAAGCACCTACTTGATGACTCTGCCAACTGTCAAAATAAACTTCATTAATTCCAAGTCTTATTTTTGTTTTACTGTGCCTGCTTAGATATTCAAATACAGCCAGGAATTATTAGCGCCTGGCTATTTTAGGCCTTCAATAACTCCTTATTTTAGATCTCTCCTTATTTTGCTCTTTCCACGCATTCATGGTAGACAGAAAAATATTTTATCGAATATCTGTACCGTATACCGTGCAGCAGGCACGCCCATCACTACTTTGACAGATTGCAGAATGATGTCAAGGTGACAATCGTTATGTTGCAGTTGTTTTTGTTTTTGTCTGAAATAGGTAAGTAGGCTTTGTGTATTCATTTTTATTTTTAAAGCGTTTCCAGAATTTCATATTTCGAAACGATGTCAAGGGCCGGCAGGGGCAAATCTTTCTCTGAGAACTGAAAATCATTAAACGCGCTGTTTTCAGTCTATTTTATTCTATCCCTTGGGGAAGTACAGAATGAAGAAAAGACTACAGTGCTCAGTGGACAAACAGTGGCTCAGTGCTCGTCTGTAATGATTATATTCAAATACTACTAAACACCTAAATAGCTTTCTGGCGTTTCAATTTCGAAGCTACCAGTTCTCGGTTAGACACGGTAGCACAGTTAAGGATAGACTCGAGGTATACGGTTACGGATGTTTATGATTCCTTTCGATATCAATATATCGTCTTGAAACCATGGATGCGTGAAAATCGATGTTCTACGTCCGATGTATCAATGTTTTCGATACATCAATGTATCGTCTATCGTCGACATCCCTATATTGTATCCCCACCAGTCACCAGTCAAAAACCTTAACCACCAATATTTTATCACTATTTATAATTCTTTTTAGCTCTTATTTTTCAGTAATTACTAATAATTTTAGGTCTATGTTTACAGTAATTGCATTATGCACCTCGGAGATGTAGGGATTAACATGTTTTACACATATCGGAGTTTTAGGATAGAGACGACCATACTGTTTTGATTGCTTTGAAGAAATTCATTAACCCATGAATTTATAACAAATGATTACTATTATGATGTAAAGAGAGATGAGGAATTGGTCGGAATACATTTTATATTCTATTTTCTTGCAAATCCGCACAATTCAACACATATGTGTAGCTATAATGATCACATATACACACAGTATATTGAACTTAACAAATTTCAAGATTGCCATGAATTAACAAACGACTAAACCTGCTGCCAAATTTAACAGCTAGAAAATAGACCTATTATTTCTCCCATTCCTATTCGCTGAGGGGATAACGGATGGTCAAATGTACACCTATAACATAAATCAAAATACATGAATGTTGTCCTGTTTTCTCTGTACAAGAGCATCATATTGGAATCAAAAAGTGGTCTTGTTTATAATACAGTCGAATTTTCACGATTTTATTCAACATTTTAATAGAAATCAAATCCGTCAAATTGCATTTCGATAAGGTATTTTCCTATTGGTCCATAATATTAATGTTGGTGAAATCGGCCCTTAGGGTTCTAAAGAGGAGACATGAAATTTATCCGTTACATGTGAGATGTGTAGCCAATTTAATTCAGTTTGGCAAAACAAGAATCGAAAGTTGTCTTAACCAAGCTTTTATGCAGCCCTCTTACAGGTGCCGTATGTTTTTTGGCCAAACAAGAATTACCATTTCGGGGACATTTTGAAGGGAATGACGCTGACAATAGTGGAAATTACAGAAAATTGTTAACATTAATTGCCCAAAAACATCAAAAATTTCTAATAACGTCAACTGTTTTTTCAGAAGGCTTGGATTAGTCATAGCATAAGACGATGAGGTACATTCAGTGCCCCGATGCCCAGTCCAGCAATGTTTACCTTAATTTAAAAAAAGTTTAAATAAAATACCTAAAATAAGCAAAAACTTATACTTGGTAGATTCAAAATAAGCCTTTTTTTAATAAGATCTTTCACATCTGGTTTTGGCAACAGTTTAGGAAAAGTCACGCTTCGCCACTGCACGTGTGGTAGGTTTTGGAATTTTCTGTCACCTCCTACGCCTGCAGGCGAGGAAGTATTGTGATCGCGGAGAATTTCGAAAATGAGATATGTTTTTTTGGATGTCACATGACAGGATTAGCACGAAAAACCATGTCACTCATTTCTGACGGTCCGTCAGTCTGTCCGTCTGCCTGTCTGTTCCCAAATCCTTGGCGCTGAATTTTTCATACAACGTTACTACTATGCCAAGGACGAATAAGTTTTGAAGTTTTTGAAAATCGGTTCAGCGGCGGCAGGGGAAGAGGTGGAAAATGAAAAAAGTAAATATCGTCCATACTTCGTTTTTTGACGCTTAGCGGCTACTGATCATTTTCGGAATTTTTTTTAGTGGTTAGAAGCTGGGGGTGATGGGTGGCAAGAGGTGAGGTAGAGTATATCTACATCTTTTGAGGTTAGTATATTTATACGAATAGAACCCCAGTCTCAATACGCACCTATTAGAGACTTTTCACTCATCACAGGTGTCGTACATTTACCCTTTGTACTCATACACATACACTTGCAAGTCGATACGTGCGCCGTGATCCGACTGATGGTCGTGCTTCGAAGTCGGCAGTCGCTTCCGTGCTGCTGTGGACTGTATGCTGTTTCAGTCAATTTCGTCATCCATGCGGAATTTCTCTCGGGGGGAGGGGAACGACATTTTTTTATACATGCTCGTAGTAAGAACATAACCCTTTCCGAACTGATGACAGCGTTGCGTGGGAACTACAGAGTCAACTTACTTGACGCTACTTTTTAACAATGGCAAAAGTACCTTTTTTCATTTTTGCTGAATGCGCTTACTACAGACTACTCGATATCGTACATTCACCATTCTGTCTCTAGAAATAAAGGCTGGTGAAAAAAATCACGTTTATTTACTATTCCTTCCTAAAGATTCACCAAAAACACAACTGAGCTATGCAAATAAGGGTACACGTTCAAATTTTTAAAATCAAAAGACGAATTGAGATTTGTAAACGTTTTGTAAATAGAGCTCTATTGCCTGGCTGAATCAATGTTTCGACCCCACACCTGCGTTTTTAATGTGCAATGACAAATTACAATGACAACTAATTGTCATTGGACTTGAATAAGGTCACCGTGATGGCGAAACGTCGTACAGTAAAGAGAAATTAAAACATATATGTGGTTTGATTCGACCACACATTGGAGTTCTATGAACATGAAAAACAGAGGATAAGTTTCGTAAAATTAGCTACATGCTTCAAATAGTTCTCACTTGATATTTATGTAAAAATACAAAGGATACAAAATAAAAGTCTTACGTTTTACTGTCTTGAGCAAGTGACAGGATATTAGGATTTATTCACCAATAGCCTTAAGGATGTTTTAAGGTACTGACCCTAGTTATCGTACAGACGCAAGTGCTTGGCACTCGGAATGTGATATATTCCATGGTAGACCTCTTCCCCTTACACTTTTCCGCCTCGTTCTCAGTGAAGGTAAGCAGGCGAATTTTTGAGTATTTTTGTTGACATAACGTTTGATAACCCATCGGCATCATTTCTTGTACACAGGGTGATTCATTCCTGAAAATCATTACAAATGTAGAAACCACAGATGTCATAACGAATTATACTCTAGGAATTGGAAAGCAAAGACTTACAATAGCAATAACCCCTAGAATATTTTGAGTTTTGTTAGTGGATGACTTAGAAGATGTATGAACTTTGGAAGCATTAAAGTTTTCATCGTTTCACATTGTTGTTACTTGCACATTTTGCGCAGCTTTTAAAAATAAATCGCTCATTTCTCGAAAACTATTAACTTTAGGGAGAAGTTAGTGAGAGTCTTATTTGTTCTCAATGGTCTAAAAGTATAAAGAACTTTGTACAGAAAAAAAAACCAAAACCGGTCCAGAGTATTTTTCGAGCATCTGCTTAGATATCTCTTGTACTAAAGGATTCAGGCTTTTACCTTAAATACTCAAACCAATCTTTCTTAAAAAGGGATACCCTGGTCAAAATTTATCAGAAAAAGAAATAATGTCTTCACCACTTGAAGTGTATCTACCAGCGGCCTATAAATTTGAAAAATCAAGTTTTGTTTATGGGCCCATTAAATGTTATCTATGCAATTAATAGGCAATATGCAACTCAAGATCACAACATTTGTTTTCTACGGGAGAAAGAATTAAAAAAAAAACAGAAAATCTTAGGGTACATTCCTTCATCTCTGATATCTACAGAAATTATTTTTTTAAGCAGTGAAAACACATACGTATATATTACCAGTTTTAAGTGTCGCGATGACACTTACGACACTATACAAAAGATATTGTATAGAATCTGGAACATATCTCCAATAGCTACATGTAGTGTGTCATTGCTGTTGTCGCGCTAAATAAAAGTTATTATGGAGCCCTAGCTTCAAATCTTAGTACGTTCAGAATTATACAGTACTTTGTATGAATATTTTACAGCCAACACCTGTCCTTAGTTATAACGCACTTGCACAAGTTTTGACTGAGTGTCTTTCCAAGAACTAGAATGAACTGCTGCTTAAAAATGGATGTCATTTACCCTAGTCCTAATTAGACAAAACGCGTTTTGTGTAACCTCATTTTAGGTATCGTGCCGAGCTACTACGACAGTTTTCAGCCTTTGTTGCATTGGGTTTTAGCATGGGACAAACCCTAACCAAAAATTAAATCAATACCCAAACTAAAGCTCAAACCAAAACCTAAACCAAAAAGCAAACATTTTGGTTTGTTGGTTAAAATTGTGGTTTGAGTTTAAAATTCAAATATATATAATAATAAAACGTCTCTTTCGGACAAACTTTAGTATGCGCTGTTCTACCACTTCCACTTAACGCGTGATATAATTGAACTAAAACTAACTGTTGCTTAAAAGTGAATGTCGAAACTAGTCTTAACTAGGCAAACATATAACAACAGGTGTTTCAACTGTATAATATTCTACGTGTGCAAAATCTCCATATCCAGCTATTAATAACTATAGAAAATATATCAACAAAAATCTATACTACGTGAGATCTTTGGTGACCGGCACGGTACGGGTATTATATAAAAAACCTATAAAACGCAAAAAAAGTGTAAAATGTCATCTTGCAGACTAGGTAGCTTTTAGGGTGCAGTCATTCACTAGGATCGTTGTGAGCGTCAATCTATGGAGGAATGACTCAACTACACGCATTGTTGGTTGCATATGTTTTGTGAAGCCGAGAGGTCTGTATTTTTCATCTCTGAGAAGTTGTGAAACAAAGAAGGTTGGTTGAATAGCAAGATGGCATCTGGATGATTAGGTGTATAGGTCTGCATGTGTCTAAGATCAGTGATATTTACTGAGTGAGAAAATTATTACTAAATACGCTGCCAATCAAGTATATCTATCAGATGTGCCCGACTGGTAATTTATATGTTGTTCTTCCTGAAGACAGGTTATGTTCAAAGAAATAAGTTACGATTTTTTCCCGTTGTTTTTTAGTTTTCAAAAACTGTGACGAGCACTACGAGAAACCGCCTTGCGCCCGCGTTTGTGCAATTAAGCCACACAACAGAAAAAATAGTAATAACGCATCACATACCAAACATTTTCGCAGTGCTTCACATCTAGGCGCTGATTTGTATTTTCTATTCACATCGCAAAATAAATTCCTATAAAATTTCATAAATATTCCTGTCTGAAATTCAGAAAATTTGCATATGTAATTTCCAGAACGAATGAGAAAATCGGATGCGCAACTAATTTATTTCTAGCTTAGAATCTTAAGTGTATTTGAGACAAGAATCAAATGGAATTATCATCAACACATATTATATGCACACAAATCCTCACAATGCACCTATGCATCGCCGTTTTATTCTAGCTATAGTATACAACTTACAGCTTAGACCTCCAAAAATGCCATCTCTGAAGCAGATTTTACGTCACATCAGAGGCAAAAATTGATAACTGAAGCATCATGACGTTTAGGCAACATGTACAACTACAAAACGAGTTCACAAGTGTCCATCAGCTAGTGCTAAGTTAACATCTTGTAGAAAAACCTACATAATGTCACAAAAAATCAATACAATGTCTAAAAAATTGACATGATGTCAGCTTACAAGATACATAATACACGTGCCGATCAGACAAAGGGTAATGGCAACACAATACAATAGAAAAAGAACTACGATGGCATTATTCTTTGTTGGCTACGTAAGAAACCTATATAATGTCAAAAGTAGAGATAAAAAGGTCAGCTTGTTGTCTATGTAGTTGCTAGAGTGCAAATAGTGCATTCCGCGCCTGCTACATGTGAGCATGAAGTGACCGACAGCTAGCTCCAAGATGACATCTTGTAGGAAAACCTACATAATGTCGTAAAAAGCCTTGATGATGTCAAAAAACCTACATAATTTAAAATAAACGACACAATGTTACTTTTCAAGTTACATAGATAATAGCCCTGCCAATCGGATCATCAAAATGTCAAGTATTAGTATAGATTTTTTGTATTACATATTTTTTTATGTTAATAGCTGGAGTTTTTGTCCACAAAGAGAAATGCATAAATAAATGAAGCACGATGATAAATAATATATTTTAACTGGATGTTTATTAATAAAAATAAAATCGTATTCATTTATTATTGATATCCCTGGTAAACGAGAAAGTTGTTAGCGAAGTCTAAATACGTCACTTGCCTTTTATCTCATTAGACGTCACGCTGTGATGGATACTCGTCAAAAATATACTAAGTGACATATAAATCCGAACACCCAGTTTAAATGGTTTTATTTTAATAATATTTTGTATAAGTACTTAATGAAGCATAATAAGTAAATGATAAAAATGATTGCACTGCTTTAAAGCCCTTTGACCTTTAATAATGTGTGGATGCACCCTGATGTGCTACGCATTCTCCAACGCGCCTAGTCATGCTTCTGATCAGGTGGTCAATGTCCTCCTGTGGTATCTCATTCCAGGCAACCACCAACTCCTCTCGAAGTGCTTCTAGAGTCTTAGGAGGACGTTGCAAATTGAGCAATCTCCTACCCATCATATCCCACACGTGCTCAATTGGGGATAAGTCGGGAGATCTTGGTGGCCATGGTAACAATGTGACATCATTATATTGAAAGAAGTCTATTGTGACTCTTGCAACATGTGGTCGGGCATTATCTTGTTGGAAAGTTGGATCTGCCAGGGTGTCAAGATAGGGTAAAAGATGGGGTTCTAGAACTTCGTGGATATAACGCTGCGCGTTTATGTTACCTCTGATGAAGATTAAAGGTGACCTGGAACAATAAGCTATAGCACCCCAAACCATAACTCCAACAGTGTGATGAACATGTCTTTCAACAAAAAACTATGGATTCCTCCTTTCACCACGTCGCCTTCTAACCCTGGCACGACCATCGTGCATGCCTAAACAAAATCGAGACTCGTCACTAAAGACAATACTGTTCCATTCCTGATCCCAGAGTGACCGTTGTCTGCACCACTCAAGGCGATTACGTCGGTGTTCTCGAGTTAAAGGGAGGACCCAGTGTGGCCGGTATGAAAACAAGCCAAAACTTCTTATTCGTCGGTAAACACTTCGCATGCCAATAGGTCTTCCGTGTTCTGCAAACCATTCATTTGCAATGGACCTAGTAGTGGAGAAACGGTCCCTTAAGGCCAATAATCGTAGGCGGCGATCTTCACGGTCTGTTGTTCTACGGCGGCGTCCAGTGCCCCTTGCTCTTTGCGTACGGCCTTCTCAAAGCCATGCCTGACAACACCTAACCACAGTGTCTACACTTCTTTGTACTCTAACTGCAATTGCCCGAAAAGAAAGTCCAGCTTCCCGAAGTCCCACTATACGGCCCCTATCAAACTCACTAAGTTGACGAAATCGTACAGGTCTCCGTACCCTAGGCATCGTAACCGATCGTAAAGGATGTCAAGAACCAAAATCCGCCAATGTTGATTCTTTACTGCGGCTGAAATATTCATTTTTAGAGCGTTAGTGAATTAAAAAAAAGCAGTATAAAAAGCGGAATGTCCAACTGATGAGGCTGAAAATTTGTTCACTTATTATTTACAGTAAGATAAATACATTCACCAAATTTTATTAAAATAAAACCATTTAAACTGGGTGTTCGGATTTATATGTCACTTAGTATAGCATACCGGGTGTAAACAACGTTTTGACTCTTGCTATAACTAATTTTTGTAAAGTACAATATAATTCTGAATGGTCCAAGGTTTGAAAGTAGGCGCCATAAACAACTTCACTATTGAAGGTGGGTCAAAATTTGCATCATCCTGTCTAACTGACAAACATTTTAAAAGACGTGCTTCATTTGCGACGTGGTTTTCATCTCAGGGTTACCAACACCGGTCAACAAACACAACATAGAGACGACGGTGTAGCTATGCCAAATTTCAACTGTTTTACACAGATTGTGAATTAACTGCCACTTACTTGCATGTCTCAAAGATAATGGCTTGTTTGAAATCGGGTTGGTTGATAATGTATCTCTGCACTCCTTTTTCATCAATTCCAGATTTGGGCAGAATTGTCTCCAACTTAGTGTCGCATAAATTCTTGAAGTCTCGTGAGTCATCGAATCTTACTTGAGGAACCAAGCCTTTGGGGTCGCTCGTGGGTGTTATCACTGTTCCAGACAGGATCTGAAACCTGCGATAGATTTGTAACAGCTTATCGTCAGATCAATTAAATATATAGGTAGGGTTTTCAAGAAAATTGGAGGGCAGATTCATCACGTTAAAATGTGAAAAACTGGCGTCCAGTAGCTTGACTCTGTACGTCTCACGCAACGTTCTCATCAATTCATAAAGGATTATATTCCGTACAAGTCAGCCCATCTGAGAAAAAAATTAGCTACGTACGAGTGTAACAAAAAACAAACGTATCCACTTACTCAAACGGGCCCATACAACTGTAAATGTAATTGTAATATCTATTCACATTTTGATACGGCGAATGTATGTAAGGTCACAATACAAGGAACTGGTGTAGACCGTATTCAACAAGGTGTATACAATTATCAAAGCATTGATAAACCTAAGTGAGTAAGACTCAAATTAGTGAATAACTTAAAACCAGTGCTGTGCTGAAACACTCGGTGAGCAGTGCACTTTTGATAGCTTTTTTCAATCTGGAATTATTCATCACATATGTATGTCTACTATACAGGTTTATATATATATATATATATATATATATATATATAATTGTTTCCTCTACCCTAAGTACGGTACCAACCATCTGACAACGTTGCTATGACTAATCTCGCCACTAGCCAGCCTCTGCCCGACGGCAGCCACCACATACTGCGAAACACAGATTTCCATCGATCAGACCGCGACGCCGGTATATTCAGAGATGTGTGTGTTAAAAACATAATCCTAAATTTTCAAGGCAAACGTTAGAAGCATATAAGTATGCTAACGTCAAAAATTGAGCTATACCCTTCTTCACCCCAAGCAACTTCCAGCCCCCAATTTCTCACCACTACAGAAACATTTCTTAAAATGATAAGGAGTCTGAAACGTCAAAAAACAAAGTTTGAACAAGTCCCTAGACTCATCTTCGAAAACTACAAAGCTTTCTCGTCATTGGATGGAATTTGAAATTGAAATTTCATCAATATCCAAGCTATAGACAGCCAAATATTGGCGAACATACAAACAGGCCGACACTCAGACCGATGCGACGAAAAATAGTGGGATACATTTTCGTGACGTACATATCATTAAACAGCAAAAAAAGCATGATATATCATTTTCGATATTTTTGGAATTGCAATACTTCCTCGCCAGTATCATGCCCAAGTAACAATTGTCACTCCTATTAGAGTTGCAGAGCATTGTATACTGTAAGAACATTGGCAAAACCCTCTTAGAACAGGTATACAATCGGAATAGGCACACCTAATAGAACACTTCAGTCATTTACGAGATTGTATAAAGGCTGCAGGTAACATTTATACAACAAAAGTGTATGCCCCTTGCAGCCGCTATAGGACATTTGCGTCAGTGCAAGATTCAGTTTTTGTCAACTATACAACTATTCTGTTACGTGATTCTACTTTATTGCAACCAAACTATTTCTTATGTATTGTATAGACGAAATGAAGAATATATAACTAACACATTACAGTCATCGGCCATTGTGAATTTCATACACAGGTATATGATAAACTTCTACACTGTGATATAGGGATATTGAATTACTTGCGCAGCAAATTTTATTGTGATTATCGTGCAAAGTAGTTACGCAATTTCTACGGGCTTCTTATTTCATGCATATTTTGTTAATGATCAAAAGTATGTCTAGATTTTTAAGATGGAAAACTGAACTTATCTGCGTCAAATCTTCCACAAATCCTATATTTAGACACAATTACACTAATGTTTATCACTTTATATCTGTAATTTCGAACTGAAACATAATTATTTAATATTAAATAGAAGAATAAATGTTTGCCCACTATGGCTGGTGGTTGTGTATAATCATGGCATGGTCCATGTTGTCTTCAGTTTATTAGAATATTTTGGTGTTGCCTGCAGGTGTTATACAACAATTTGACAAATGTCTGAAATGAAATACCGACAGAGTCCAATGATTTACCCAGAATTTGTACCAGATCTATATCTTCCGTTTGATCAGTTGATAAAACCTTTTGTACCAATATGCATGCGTTGTTTGTCTTAAATCATTGGTTATGGCATTTTAACAAAAATATGACAGCAGAAAGTTAGGTTATGGTGAAGGTGTATACCAACATATTTAGCATATGTACAGCCTTTAACAGTTACTAAACAACAGTTGTATAAGTGCTTCCGTTGGGAGCAACTTGTTGGCTAAAGTAGTAATATGCCCAGCAAAACAACAAGGCTCGGGTTTGTTTTATAAACGTTACCATGTATGCCACAACACCACCATTTTGACTAACGTGCAAATATGCCGTATACAATAGTTGTATAAACGTTTATGCAACAGTTAAAAATTTGTCCTATAAGGTGTTGTATAACTATGCTAAAGAATATTTTAAACACCTCGTTTTAGAGCAAATATATTGCAGAAAGCAAATTTGCATTCCACAGAACATTAAGCCAGCATTTTGGTATTCAGGCAACAACAATAGAGAGCTTTTATGGCTGAATGGTTCTTTTACCAAAAGCTCATAGCACTACTTTGCTAGTTGGGTGGATATTCAAATTGGTTCATTCGTTGTGGATACTCGCACAATTACACACAGATACATTTTTTAACTCCATCTTTTCGCGTTTAGGGTTAAATAGACAATGTACTATATTAGAGAAGTGTGCCATCATTGTTCGAGCACTTTCATATCCTGATCCTAATTTAAGGAGACTTTGAAATATACCTTGTTTGAGAATTTACTTGATATCCGGCAACACTGTCCGAATAAAGCACACGAAATACCTGGATCACAGAGCGTGGCGTGGGAGAGGGACTCACTGCTACATTGATAGAGTCCGGTTGAGACAAAAGATGCTACGATTGTCGACACGTCATTTCTTTCCCGCTCATTTTCAAATACTCACATTTATCAGAAAGCATGGAACTTAAAAGCTGTCAAAATAATAAGATGAATAAATGCAAACAACAACAATGATTTACTATAAAACACACTCAGTAATGACTTGTAGTAATTAATAATCATTGGAAATATTCAAAAATGGAGAAAGCATGTAATCTCAGTGACAGTGAGGAAGTTTCATATTTTTTGAAATAGTCTAAATAAAGTGAAGTACAGCTCTGGAAAATTTTTCGATTATCTTAAAAGAATGACAAAGTTGCGCTACCCAGAAGTTTCTTATTTGGAGAATTATCTTGCTGGAACGCGTGACTGGATGATGACGTCACCTTACACCAGCGACCACCGCCACCGCAAAGCGATGCACCCGCCGCGTGCGATTCGCGCTTTTTACAAATGTTGCTCTGCTCTGTATTCATGATTTACGGTAAAACTGTGTAAATATGGGTCGGACCTTCGACAAGCATATTAGCTCCAGGATAACGTTTTTCCCTGTGCGAAAACACAAAAGGATTAGAATTGCCTCTATCGGGAATATCATCATTACACTGCTGTGAATTTCATTTTGATGTAAGTACTTGGGTATTTAGCTAAAATGGTATGAATGATCATAATAATTATTATTAGTGTGTCTGTCTATTATGATGCAGTAACAACCTAATTAGTGTAACCGAGAACGATAGATTTGTTTATGGCTTTTATTTCGCGATAATGTGAATATGTTCGTAGTGATCATGTTGTGGTTGGAGGGGGGTAATACACTTTGATATATACGCGTGGTTCAGGAATCAAGAAACCTGGTTATAAGTTTAAAAAATGTATAATCGACTAGTGTCACGTTTTTAAATAATCAGCTGTATTGCCAATTGACAAAAATGTCGGTACAGCCTGGTACCTAACTAGTTAACTACACATCACTTGTTGCATTACTTGTATGTAATACCATTTTGGCCCCGATCTGCGCTACCAACAAAGACTTGTTTTACTGTACCTGTCATGAAAGCCTTCAAAGCCTGCTTTGATCTAGAGCAAATTAGTTGAATGCTACTTCCACCGCGATGTGTCTGTTGGTATCGATAGCACGGACCGGTAGGCTATTACACTCCTCTGTTTCTCTAATGCCTCACGATGCCGGGGGTTTTCGTTTTGACAGTGCAGCATTCAGGCACTAAACACCATTTAAACTTCAGAGTCGAAGTGTAGCTATCGATAGCTATACAAGTATACCGGGTGATATGTGAAGACTGTCCATGTTTCTAATAAAGAGATATTTATTTCCTTGGAAAATGGAATCGGTAGTCATATAATTTTCCATTCTGAAGCTCTTTATGAGTATTTCGTGGCCGGAATATAAAATAACTATCTTTAGAAATGGCAGAATGACAGGCTGTCAAAGTTGAACATTTTTGTACATTTACTCGTTTAATACGTCAATCTTCTTCTCTCGGAAAGGTCTATCCGAATGATTAATAAAATATGGAATATTTCACATTAAAAAATTGTGAAGATCTGTTTTGAACGCATTGTGCCATATTTATTTGCACATTAGATAGACCTTTTCAGAAGAAGAAAATTGATGTGGCATGCTATCATGTTTTGATCATTAGCTATTGAATAAACGATTCAATGTACAAAATGTACAAAGATAGGTTGACTCTTCACTCACCCTCTCTGCGGGTGCATATGCTTATAATTTTTCTTACCGTTTCTTTTTCCTCTCCAACAACTTGCGAATGCGATCTTCTGGATAAAATGCTGGTGAATCACATAGTGAATGTAAGCGCAGATTGAGGCATCTTGTCTTATTTTGGAGAGGATGACAGTTGCATATTTTCGTCTGAAACAAGTATTCTATCATCCATCAGAGCTATGGTTAATAATATTCAACTTATTGTCTAATGTAGATGCTTCCAAAATGGAAACCATCTTATAATATTTTTTTATCGATCACAAAAGTGCTTAAGTCGATCCGAGATATTGATGAAATATTTATGCAAAATTTTTGGTATGACTTTTTGCCTACTAAATTCATAAACGTGCTGGGTGGCCAATACTGACTATTTTTACGATGCAACGGAATTGATAAAATTTTTTATCCCAGCATTTTATGGAAAGTTGGGAGTTATGTTTGAGTTATCTAAATCTATATATGTATGTACAGGGTATGAAGTTAGTAGTGGATCAACAGAGCACCTGACCTCTAAGCCATCAAAACATATCGAACCAATCTCTATATGTGTGGTCCGAAGTTTTATAGTTCAGGAGATATTTGCAATTTTGAGAAATTTCTAAAAAAACGGGATAATGAACTTTCCATCTCAATTACAACTAAGCCATCAGGTTTAGGGCTGTGATTTTTTTATTGAGATCAGCTAAATGGTTAGTTTTAGCAATGTAGTTAAATTCATTTTTTTGTTAAAAATCTCTTCCATCCCTTAACTTTGGAGGGCGGTAAAAAATTGAGATTGTATTTCATTATCCATTTTATTGTAATAACTATTTCAATCCATGTAGAATAAACCCTGACAATTTTAACTAACTACGATAATTGCCTCACCTTAAAAAAATCTGTATGTTTGACTCAGGTGGGTATCTATCTATACATGTAAACAAGAAATTCTATTTTACGAGCTACAGTCCAAACGACTTGATGGATTTTGAGATATGAGGTACAGTTAGATTCGTCCTAGAGTGCGACTGATTCTGTATGTGTATTAAAATTTTGTAAAATCAAAATGGCGGATTTTTTACGCAAATAGCCATATCAGCTTAATAAGCTTGGAGACTCAACTTGGCATTCCAGGTGCGGGAGCATTCAATCTTCGGTCCGACCGAAATTACTAAGTCAAGCAATGGTCCAGCGCGGAATTTGTATCTAACGTTTGGCATCTGAGTAGAATCATATCATATTCCCTGCGAGATTATGCAGAAATACATTACTATTATGGTGCTGCCCTAGGAACTGCTCGAGCAGCTGCTCGCATGTATTGGGAGTATGTGGTTAGAAGAGGTGGACCACAATCGGCGGCATATCCTGACTACCACGTTTTTCTACGCGTCCATAATGCGTATATGGAAGGCCGCATACTAGGCACTCATCGTCAATCAATGTAATCATCATCATCATATGCAACTTACAGCTTAGACCTCCAGTAATGCCATCTCAGAAGCAGATTTTACATCACATCAGAGCCAAAGATTGAGATCAAGCCTCATGACGTTTAGGCAACACGTACAACTAAGTGCTAAGTTAATATCTTGTAGAATAACCTACGTAATGTCAAAAAAACAGCATAATCTCTCAAAAATCGGCATAATGTCACTTTTCAAGTTACATGATACCCATGATCGAAAATTTGTACAGATGTTTAGGTTGACCAAAGATTTGGTGTATGTTCTGCTCGAGATATTGACTCTATTCACACAACCACCCCCACGAGCTTCTGCACTTTCGATCACATCAAAGGCAAGACTAGATATTAAGTTTTAGTGATTCTAGAACAGTATCCTTTAATCTATAATTGAATCTTGCCCTTTTCTTCATTTTTACTGTGTTTTTTGAGTTTTCGGCTCCATAGATAAAATTATAAGGAGGAAATCTTGACCCAAAACTTGGGTTGGTTTTGGACTGTCAAAATTATCTCCGTTTTGATTGGTTTTAACACGTTTACTTATATCTGACAACCCTATGTCTTGATTTCTTTTCTCCTTTCTATCGAGTCCTTTCAAGAATACAGTATTTTCCAATCGATAGGAAGCCGAGGGAGTAGTAAAAGAGAGAGTGTGTGTGATTTTCTAATAAAGTCAAGAATAGGGGCTCTGGCCGGAAATAAATGCACATATTATGCAACTACAAAAGTAGGTACAGATGCGAGTGTAACCGTACAAGAGTTTGAACATAATTTTTTGTCGTAACTGTAACTGAATTTTACAATTTCAAATATTTCATGCGGGTATAAACAATATGACAATTTAAATATTTTTTCCGTAACTGTAACTGAACTTTACAATTTTTAAATATTGCGTGCGGGTATAACAATTTAATTAACACAAATTATTGAAACTGTCATTTCACCAAGTAACTAGTAAAAAAAGTAGTTGGTTAACATACCCAATGATATGAAAAAAGCTCGTACTATGGGTTATCTACTTATTTGAACAACTTAAACTAGAATGACGTTTAGTGTTTACAGTACCATCTTTTATAGCCTTGTCCACCAGATGAAGACTTCACGCAGTGATTTGTTTTCGGGCGAAACATGTTCAAGGTCTAAACATTTTGATTCGCACATGCTGAATTGATTTCTAGAAAAAAATTCGGACACTGTGCCAATCTGGTTGCCCAACTTATATAAACCATCCGCAGTACATTAACGTACCACCAATGAAGGCTTTGGGAACTATCCTCTATCAACGTCAGGAATTTTTACACGGGCGGTATCACTTACCTTACAAGGAGGAAACTTTCCATTTGACGAAGCTGTCATTTTATTAGCCTGTAATACTAAACGAACTGCCGCATCTTTCCTACTATTATCTATTATCTATTTATTTTTGCACAAGTCATACTTTTCACCTCCCTTCTGGTCACAAATCTGGCGAACTGCTTTTTCTGTAATTTCATTTCCATGGGATTCGATTTCTGTCTTATTTACCTCGCTACTGTTATTTTTCAGCTGTTCAAGAATTTTCTTTAGATCCTCCTTATTCTTGATCATTTTGATTGTCTCGAGAGGCAGAACTTAAGCCAAAGTTAACATCACAACCAAAAATTGCTTGTCTTGTATCAAGTATCCTTGTTTCTTGATATAAGTTGTTTGTCGGATATAATCATGGCTTATGGAAAATGGCTTTCAAAACAGTTTTTTGTGCTACAGCTATAGCACTGAATATATTCAGGTCAGAAATATATGTCTTTGCAGGCGGCACCCCAGGCTGTGATGCCGTATATTATATGGGTTTCAAATAAGGCATGGTACAGGATTCGCAGATAACTTTCTGTAAGAATGTTAGCAAGCGTTTTGAGTTTATAGGCAACATTTCTAATTTTTTTGATAACATATGTATTTAATATGGTTATCCCACCTTAGATGTGAGTCCATAAATATTCCAAGATATTTCAAAGTGTTGATTTTGGTCTTTTGGCCATGATAATTAACCGAAATTTGTTCGAAGGTAGGTAAAATTTTGAATAGAATGTAAATGCTATAAATTTTGTTTTTTGAAGTTAACTGTTAAAATTTTAGTATCAAACCAGTCAATGATCCTTACAAAATCCTATTCAGCTATTTGCTGCAATGTGCTCCAGTCATCAGCTTTATATAGTATGAGGGTGACGCCTGCAAAACATATAATCTTTCAAGAACTGTTAATTCTGAATAAGTCATTTAAGTAGAGACTAAATAATAGTGGGCCTAGTACTGTTCCTTGAGGCACACCACACTTGATGTACATTTTTTTACTGTAAGTGTTGCTGATTTTAACAGTCTGTGCCCGACTTGAAAGGTAATTTTTTAAAAGTATTTGTGACGTTCCCCTAAATCCCAATCTTTCCATAACTTTCAGAAGCTCGACATGGTTAACCGTATCAAAGGCATTTTTTAGATCAACAAAGATACCAATAGTAGGTATTTTTTGTTGACATTAGAGTTAATTTCATCCATTGCAGTCAAAATTGCATCTGTAGTAGACTTTCCTTTTCTAAATCCATATCGGTCAAAACATATAATTTTGTTTTTGTCCAAAAATTGTAATATCCTTTCTTGTAGTAATTTTGCTATATTCGATAGTACTGATATGGATCTATAACTTGATGTTTCCATTCTGTCACCGCTTTTATAAGCAGGAGCAATAACTGTTGTTTTAGATGCATCAGGACGAATTCCAGATAGGAAACACCAATTAATAACGTAAGAAAGTGGTTCGACTAAGTCGTAGGCTATTATTTTTAAATGTTCAGCTTTGATACCATCTACACCAGGACTTTTTTTGGTTTTAAGTGATAGGACAGCTTCTTGTACTTTAATCGGACTAATGCTTTCTAAAAAGAATGAATTGGGAAGTTGGGTTTTTGAGAACATGTCGTTCAAAGTATTTTTTTTAATACTGACTGACAAATTTTCTCCAACATTGATGAAAAAATTTATAAATGCGGATATTTGTCGTTTATCTGTTAATATTGTTCCATCACGATTCTTAATTTCATCAATATTTGGCTTCTGTTGCACGTCTTTGTTAGTTAAGTGATCGACAACCGACCAGAGTTTTCTTGGATTTGGCATCTTGTAATTTTTTTAAGTAAAATTGGCTTTTTGTTTCTCTAACTAGATTGATAAAAATATTTTTATATTAATTTATAACCTGGTGATGCTTTCATTATTTTATATAGTTCCTCTTTTTTGTTGGCAGACTTTATCAAACCTTTAGTTATCCAGGGATTCCTATTTCTTTCAAAATGTTTAATTTTAACTCGGTTAGTACTACATTCAATTGAATGCTTTATGCGTTCAATGAGTGTGTTTGCAGCATCATTAACATTTGTTGCACAGTAAACTGATGTCCACGATTCTAATTTGATATTTGCAGGTAGTTTTTTATTATCGCCAAACACCTAAATTTCACTGTTTAATTATTGGAGGTGGAGCTACTATTATTTTTTTCTGGTGATGATATAAGTATTACAGTGGATAAATGATCGGTTATATGGTTTTCAACAATTAACGGTATGTACCGAAAGAAAGTTGAAAACTCTTTGATGAAACAATGATCAATGCAAGAACTAGAACTATTATTGACTACTCTTGTTGGTAAATTTATATGTGATATGGATCCAGTGCTCTGCATTACTCGAACAGTGAGATATTTGTTTATTAATTTGGTATCTTGCAGTATATTAATAATCATGTCTCCTATTATGATGTGGTGTGACTATATGGCATTTTTGTTATCTAACAAATATTTTCAAGATTCTCTACATATGTATAAGGGTTTGATGATGGTGGTCGATAGACAGATGTGACTTTTACACC